GTCTATGTACGAACTTGACTCATACATACATGTTTTTTGTATGCCAAAATTATGAATTTCAAATATTTGTCTATTATACTTACACTAGAAATGTACTGATGTGGAAATTAAATAAAGCTATCGAACAAAGTTGTTGTGTATTTTTTTAAGGGGAGAAAATCATCGAATCACACTCGGATCCCGCCTCAGTGAGGCGAGAGGGAGTGTCAGACTCTTACTGACTAAAATCCACCCCGTTCCTCGCCCTTAGTTAGCATGACAGCTTCGCAAAAGAAATCCCAGTCCTTCTCGCTCTGCATCATGATTAGAACTCAGGTCAGCCGCGAGAAGTCGCCGTCGTCGATCACATCCCTGAGGACACGGCGGTGCTCAGCCCATGTAGGGCATGTATGCTCCACCGTGTCCTCAGGACGGTCCTCGTAGTGATGACACCCGAGCGATATGTACCTATGTTTAGTATCTAATTTAAAACAATGTTTTTTTTTTAACTTCTGTACAATAAACATACGATGGCGGACTTAATGCCGGGTGGCATTCTCTAACAGTCAACCATGGGGTGATGCAGAGATGTGCAAGTAGGTGTATAAGGTTGTTAATAAGCGGACAGGAGTTTCTTGCTCGTTCTTCTTCATAGGAATCTACACTTTGGAACGAGCAAATAGCTTCACTAGAGGACTGACCTACACACATTTTTTCTTATTATTTAATATTTAAATATTATGTTTTGATGTTCAAAAGTGCCTTCATGGTCCAATTAAAATAAATTATTTTGAATTTTACATTGACTTGACTGAGCCAACCAACGACAAATTAAAAAAAAAATTTGACTTTTACATTGACTTGACTGAGCCGACCAACGCGGCAGTTACAGAAGATGGAGACATGGTTGTTATGGTTTCATTCAAAACCATATTGTAACTTAGTAAAAAGTCAATCTTTCTTCTTCTACTTGCGTACTAAATAACTTGGCTGAGGGTACATACATATTGACGTACTACTGTTTATTACCTTGTACTATTTAATTTGTTAGCGAAGCAATGGTTACTGTCTTTGTACTGAGTATATGTTTATTTTCGTACCTGTATACCTAATAACCGTGCCGATTCTACATGAGATATTTTAAAAGTATAAAGATAATATTTTTTCATAAAGTACGTTAAAAAAACCTACTTCTTCGAATTCTTTCTTAACTCGTCGAGTACCGTCATTATAGACACAATTATAGAACAATAGGTTGCGGTCACCGGTGACCGCTTGGTGTTTGACAGTTTAAGTAGATTAATTAATATACCAAAACTTTTTCCAAAGTATAATAAACACTTTTCTGAAAACTGCACAATCATACATACATAAACATACAGTGTAAACCAAGAACCTCCATTTTTGAAGTCGGTTAAAAAATAAAACACAATCGTATTGCAAGAACATTGATTTCTCTTCTTCTTGACCAATTTTTTATGTACATACAATATTATTTAGAAAAAAAAACACAATTTCTCGTACAACAAATATTTAGCTTGATACAATTCCAGTCGACATCGATATGGTATAACATAGTTTATTTGTTTTAGGGTCCAACTAAAACTGAGAATGATAGGACTGCATTCGTCTCAAATATACATAAGACTTATTTTACCTATTAGCTTTATACAGTAGCCCTTAAAATGACCTAACAAGATTGTAAAAAGAATCGATTGTATCATAACATAACATCACGCCTTTTTATCCCCGAAGAGTTAGGCAGAGGAGCACATTATGGCACTTAATGCCACTGAAGAATGTAACACCCACTTTTCACTATTTGTGTGACGAGTTCCATGTAATAGGGGCCTATTGACATATGCCGGGCATGTTTTCAGACTCCGTGCTACTACTGAGATTTTTAAAAACCCAGTAATATTTTTCCCGACCCGGGAATCGAACCCAAGACCCCTTGCAGTCACACTTGTGACCACTCGGCCAACGAGGCAGAGAGAGAGAGGGCAGTCCAAAGAGAGAATTGATTGTAATGAGCTTTATACGCAATTTCCTCGATATAAACTTTTTGATCTGGGTTTTCCCACAATATCGTAATTTTTATAAAATTTTATAATACATTTATGTATATAATAAAGGTCTCAAAAAATCCACCACTGTTTGATCTAAGTACTATTTCATTATGGTCTATATATTCTTATTATATATACTCCATATATCCCATCAAAACTAAACCAAAATAAGATTCTACCAAATTCAGAAATATTAATCAAAGAAAAAAATATTAGACATTTTAGTTGGACACTATAACAATAGATTATTTCACTTACATAATACAGAACACTGATTTAAAATTGTTTAAAAAATTGGGAATTACCTACCTACAATTACACATTCATATTTTTATTGATACAGGCAAAATAACACAGGGGTAAGGGTATGAATACAACAACATTTTTTTATCTTAATTATTATTATTCTGGCTGTGGTCTTTCTGTGATTAAAACTTCCTTTATAAAAGTACATGCAATAATAAACCTACCTGATTTGATAATTAGGTACATGATTCTTTGACGTACAATTTTGTAAGATAACTCTTTGAGACATATTTAATTATTATTATTTCACAGCTTACTAACATAACCGTTTGATAATGCGATTCAGATCATTTCATGCCACGCTTTGGAGGCTATAAGTTATGAGCAGAGTGAATTTTGTGAGTTTAATTAACGCGTTTGTTCTTCTGATTGGTTAGTTTACTTGGAGCTGGCCAATCAGAATGTCAAACGTCATAATCGTGTCGATCGCATTAATGTAGAACAAACTTGTACTAGGCTCTCAGAATTGCCCAAAACCGATACATGCCAACAATTTTAAATGGATAAATAAGTAAACTGTAAAATATTAACTCGACAAATTCAAGTAGTTTCAAAAACAACAAAATATATAATAAACTCCATTCAATATTTTGTATAATATATAAGTATATGCTGCTTACGAAAAGTAAAATTAAATTAGTCAACCTTCGTCAAATACAATAAAATATAGCTGCAGACCAATGACACATTATTTTTGTTCATTATACCGGATAGACTGCAAAATCTCCTTTATCAATTTTCAGATTTCAGAAAAGCCAGAACACTATACCTATTTGGATGGGGGCAATACAGACAATGATCAATTCACACAAATCACAACAAATATTGTGCCTTTATACTGCGTTTAAATATATAAAGAATACAATGCTTATTAAGAAGAATATTTAACATATGCGTAAATCTGTGACCCTAATGTAAAAGGGTATAATTCGAAATCTGTCCAAAATGATTGAATTACCCCACGGTTATACTGCACGATTGATGCGGTGGCTGGACAACCAGCTAACGCGCAAAATGTCGAGGGTTAGATTCCCGCACGAAACAACTTTTTCTGTGATTTGTTGCTTCAGGTCTGGGTGTAATGTGAAAATCCTAGTATGAAGTAAAGTTATATTTTTTTAAATGATTTGATAACAATGCTTCAACATTCAAGCTATACTGTAGTTAATAAAAACATCACATCGTCAAAAACAAACATCAATAGGGCAGCTAAAATGACACACGACGTCTAACACGAATTTGAAGCGCCCTAAGCACTATTTGCGTCTTCTGTAAAGTTAAATTTATTGACTTAGATCCTTTTACATTACGGCCACAGAAATATCATCGCAATAAGTTTACAAAATCTTAAACTATTCTGTGATAACACATTTACTAGATCAGAATCTCTGAACATAATATTACGGATTTGTTTCTATCTATTTTCAAAAATAACGTGCATAGGATATCGTCGGGGAATATTATCTAAATATACATGTTTATTATTACCACAACAATCTCCAATCTTAAGTCAAGAATCAAAATATAATATGCATTAAAATAAAATTAAAATTTAGCTAAATGTAGTATAACATTTAGTAAAAAAAAGTTAATCTGATTTTACACTGAATATGACAATATTATATAGAAGAAATATGAAGTTTTAAATGATATTTAAAAGAATAAATAGGTATCCTTATTCTCCCAACCCGAACAAGGTAACCTACTACTAGAAAGAAGAAAATTTCTAAGAAACGTTGACAGTTCAAGTTCACTAATACTCTGTTAAGTATTGGTTAAATGTGAGACCAAATTATAATTGCATATTTCAGTCGTACATTAAATCCCTTCAACTATTGGGCGAAGGCTTATAAAGAATTTTATCAGTACGGACTTAGAATTATATCCCAAATCCATGGTAAGTTTAAGAATAACAAACTGTATCCCTTCACCCTTTTTAAAGAAGAATATCATGTGTTTAAAACTGCTATCGAAGTAACAACAAACATTTTCATCTATATACAATATTATAAAAATACTTCCACGTCAGACAATTTGTATAACATCGAAAATACATTTAGACTGTCCATTTATATGTCAGCGATCGTATAAAAGTACATAGCATACGTATTATTTATTATTAAGTGTAGTTCATTCACCAGACAAAGTTAAAGAATTCCATTAACACACATTCATGACAAAAAGGATATGATAAGTGTTTGTGAACATCATTGTGGTTGGAATTTATCGAAAAACATATTAAAAGGCTTATTGTTATACATACATTTCGCACAAAATATTTTCTTCACAAGAAGTTTTATTCACTAGTCATATACATCACACAAACGCACTCATGAATAAATTTTCATCGTGTATTATTTTAACAACAAGTATATGAACCATATAAATTTCAATACTTTTATCTTATTTTACAGTCAGAAGTCCGACACACAATGTCGAAGTACCAACCAGAGGACCAGCCCCTGAATTCATAAGAATACGAAGAAGTTTCCGAAGCGTCATTGATTGTAATACAATATTCGTTGGCGTGTCTTCGTCATCGCCGCTAACTAATCTATGCTAGCTGTTTCTAGAAAACGGAGAAAAGCGCGTCTTTACCTCGAGTACCCCACCGTATAACAACGGCCGCGCTTAGAGGAGGTACTCTCATTGGTCTGGCTTATCAAATGATGTATTTGGAGTGCTCTCTACTTTTTTCAGTACTATTTTGAATGCAAAAGTATGTTTTGGAGACACAGACGCTGGACGAGGAGTCTGAGGAGAACGCGGAGGTGGTTCAGGTGGCATCTCAGATCGAGTCCTCGTGCGTCTTGGTGGTGGAAGATTCCGCATTATTGGCGCCGATATTGGCTCTTTTGGTATTTGCGGAGACAGTCTATTTGGAGTCAAACGTCCGGGTGATGGCTCAGGAGTAGCAGGCGGTAACATTAAAGGTGGAAGATTAGCACACGGCGATCCACGAGAACCTCGACGTTCCTTCAAACCCATAGGCGGTGGTGGCGACATAGGCGCCTCATCTTCCTCAGCCGCTGCAACTACAACCACTGGCTCAGTCCTTAATAATGGAGGCTTCGGTTCAGAAGTATCTGACGCAATAGACCTTCTAAAATAGTTAAGTCCATTTTCTATCTCAGCTAGAGCACGCCTCACAAACGGAAAACTCTCAGATAACTCTGAAGTGGACTTGCGGACGGGAAACTCTGTTTCACTGTCACGCTTCCTCGGCCTACAGCGCTCAAACGTAGGGTCTCCTGACGCTCCCACCGTTTCGGAGACTTGTCTTGTCAGAGCGGCGTGCTTAATGGAATCTGACTTTGATCGGGGCTCCCTTGTTTTTGGTGTAGGAGAGCGTCGATCACCGAACTTCTTACTAGCTGCACGCTTGATAGAGGAGAAAAGTCCGAGTTTCTCCGGAGGCTTGTCCGTTGGGGGTATGGGAATGGGTACAACAGGAGCTGAGGAAGGGCCAGGGGTGGGTTCGGGAGGAGGACGGGGGAGGTTCCCCTCGCGTTAGTTGTGCCGAGAGTCTGACGACGGAACATCGCTCGAGCCGGTGGAGGAGAGGGTGGTGTTGGATCCATAAGGATCGAGCGAAGACTGCACGGACATGGAGCGACCAGCGCGTCGGACTCGCGCTGGAGAGAGTTTGCCTGGATCTACGCTGGCCGGGTCTGCCTGCAACAACAGCGGTTTCAGCGCTCTATTCATTGCACTACTACTGAAGGCATAGAATTTTGCATAAAGAAAGATAGATTATACACATTTAATACATAAAAAGATTAAACTATGGTTAGGCTTTAACAAAATTACAAAGAGATATATTTAGTGATATAGTTTTAAAATGTCAAAAACGATACGTTTCCATGAAGTCCGTAAGATAAGAATTATGTCTGAGCAAAGTCTTAAAAATCTGCGAGAAAAAATCTAAAAATATGTATGAAAATAATTATAGACACATCAATGAACGAAAGTTCCAATGATTATTATATTTATCCGAGAAAACTGCCCAATTTTTATCTATTTTACTCTTATACACTACTTCTATAATGTATAATAGTAGGTATTAACTGCTATAGTCTCTATAACTAAAACAATAAAAAACTAAGTAAGACAGTATCAAGCAAAAGTATAGAGTAATAGTAGAATTAGACTCTCTGCTGCCAAGGTAAGCACATGAGACCAATTTTGAATAAATAATTAAAGATGTTTCGTAACAGCACCTGGTATGCCAGCGCGTTCATTATGATGGAGTATGGTACCAGGCCGAGGGGGTGAACTTCTCTCATCAGCACGTTAGCGGGGATCTTGTGGAACTGGATGTACTCCAAAAAGTTTCCAATCACTTCTTTCAAATTCATGTTCTGGTTGGTGTCGCAATACTTTTTGCTCCACATTAAAGCAGCCTGGAATTAAATAACATGGTTTTAAAAATAATGTGATCATTCATAAGTATTTTGTCCTTTTCAGTCAGTACTGATAATAATCAATGTCCGTGGAGTCAAGCTTTTGTGCCCGACCCTAGCATTCAGCAGAGCATTAACCATTTTGCACTCAATAAATTGTTAATTATTACTGTTATTATATTTTCATGTGTGTGTTTTATTTTTTCTTAAGGGTACTGTATAGAAAAATCTGTGCACAGTCGATGTTTGAGTAAAATATTACAACATTTTAGTTGAACATTTTTTTAACTTAAGATGTAAAATCCTCATGGCGCTTTCTTTGGATTTTAGTGTTACATTGTTCTCGCACAATCCAAACAGCAAAACTATGTAACTAGTAAATTGTATTGTGAACCCGATTGAAAAAGAGTAACCTATGGAGTTTCTTGCTCGTTCTTCTCCATAGGAATCTACACCTTGGAATGAGCAAATAGCTTCACTTCTTATTATTTTTTTTTGTTGACGTTCAAAAGTGCCATTCTGGCCTAATTGAAAAAAAATGATTTTGACTTTGACTTTGACATTAAAGACGAAGGAAAAAATCGTACTGACCAAAAACCACCCAGATGTCTCGTCTCCCAAGTGGGTTTGGGAATCAAATTCATCCGCGGCAAAAGAAAACGACGTAGAGATTCGAACTCACAACACAATCAGGAATATCAGTCCGTTATGATAGCATGGTTAACATCTAAACCAAATCGGATTTTAAACCAAATACTCCTGAATAAATACTTAACTTTCTTGAGTTTGAACACTGGGGAAAACAGCCAGCAAAAAAAATAGAAATATTTTTAGTAACTTTGTGATCCTTTAAACCAAAATATATGCCAATGTTGTATTGAAAATAATAGAATTATCGAGTAACTATACCTGGAATTTAGTAAATTCATCAGCCCTCAGTTCGTCTCGCGCCAGTATCAGCCTCACCACGTGTTGGGGCAGCAGCGTGAAAGATCCGAGATTCAGCACTTCATTACCATGCTCGTCTACAAATTCCAATACCTGAAACATTTAGTTCAATATGTAGCAAGATTCAAAATCTACAAACTGAATACCCACATTTTGAGGTCATTTATCAAACCAGAACTCTTTTTCAATCAAAAATGTATTATTACAATGCATCATCAACAATAGCATGGAGGAATTCACTGCTGAACTGTAACTCCTCTCAGTTTAAAAAGTTTAGGTTTATCAGAGAGCGCTTATACTCAGTCCCTGGTAAATAGACAATATAATAAACTATTGAATTCTTAAAAATCAAATAAATACCGAAGAGAGTACTAGAGGCGGTTGCTGGAACGGTTGATAAAGTCAGTTGGCGCAAACATCAACATGTACCTACTTCTAGTTCATTTTACGAATTTGTACTTTTTTATGGCATAGGCCGGTAAACGAGCAGACGGATCACCTGATGTATGTAATCGGCGTCGCCCATGGACAACTGGAACACCAGAGGCGTTACAAGTGCGTTACCGGCCTTTTGGGGATTAGGAGTTTGAGAATCGTTGGGGATTCAGGAATTGGGGAGATTGGGGAAGGGGAGGGAATTAGGGCTCCGGTAACCTCACTCACACGACGAAACACAACGCAAGCGTGGCTTCACGTCGGTTTTCTGTGGTATCACTCCGGTCGAGCCGGCCCATTCGTGCCAAAGCATGGCTCTCCCACACTTACTAGTGCGTACTAGTTAATTATTTTAGTGAATTAAAATACTTGATGCAACGTATAACAACACAGGAGAATATAATGAAGTACCATCTATGCTACATTTGGCAGAGAGCCTCTTTCTCTCCTTTTAAATTGCACCTTCCAACCCAACTGCTTGAAGTCTTTTACTTTTTTTATTCAATAGAACACGAAAAGACTACGTACCTTCTGTACAAGTGACTTGGTACACTTGTACTGTATGTATCTCTCAGCTGAAGCAAGCAGGGCGCAAACGGTGTCGACGGTGATGCAGCATTGTACGAAACCCGCGCATGCGCGCCGTAGCTCATCCAGGCCGTAGTAGTCAGCAGCATTCATTACTCCTGGAATTGAGAAGGCATTTTGAGGAGATGAAAAGATATTTTGAAAATATTTCTTAATAACCGCTATTAACCTTACTCAATTTGCATGTTATAACGGTCAGTTAGACACCACATACAAATGGTAAAGGAAAACATCATAACCAGGGCTTACAATTTCTAATTATAAGTTTAAAATCCAACCCGCAATGAGCAAGCGTGGTGATTAAAACCCGCAATAAGCTCAAATTACGCACTTATAGGCTGTTGATGATGACTTAAACGGTCATTGTGAGAGATTAGGTTTCAAACAAAGCACATGGTACTCGCAAGGTGTTCGAGTGAAGAGTATGCTAATAATAATTAACCAAAACATGTTATTTTAATAACTATGTCTTTATTAACAGAGTCCTTTATACAATGATGGCGTTTCACTCAACTCAAGTTGATACAACACAATAGATCCTTCTTTATTCATTAGACACGACTTCCTAATTAGAAAATCTAAATCATTATTTGAAAACTCATCGAACATAATTATATTTATTACTGGTCTTTTTAATATTCGAATTTGACGTAAAAATACTAACGCTATTCATAATAGCTTACGAACTTTTAGTAAGTACGTATACCTACGCATTTTAACAGAAAGAGTAAATATAAGGTAAAATTACTTTTTCCAATGAATTTTGAAATGCGAAACGCGTAAATGTTGAGAGTAATTCACTAAAATAAGTAATACTACGCAAGTTGCCTCATTTTGCGTGGGCGACAAAGTTTTATTACAAGTTATTTTTAGATACAGGAGTCGTAAGTTCAATGTGTCGTTGTAGGCGTGAAGTATATAGGTTGTTTATAATAATTGCGTTGGTGTAAGTTTTATAAGATTCCTTGTGGTTTCACCCTCACTGCTCGGCGCCTATTCAGTGTAATGTAATATTTTATAACCTATTGCCTTATTCGATAAATGGTCTATCCAATACAAAAAAAGTTTTTCAAATCAGTCCAGTAGTTACTTAGATACACGTTCACACAAATAAACTCCTTAGCTTTAGATAAATAAAGTTAAAGTTTACGCAGGTAATGATATGAATTTGAAAATGTGTATTATTTTACATATTTTATATGGATTATTTCTTTGGGGGAGGACATCATTAAATGACTTCTCTGTGGTGGTCTGATAGCTTTTCTAGGCGCATCGCGTTTCGAATAACATTTAGGCGTGTGTACGAATTTTTAAATAATATCAATTATTAACTTAATATAAAACATAATACAACACAAGATGCACATTGTGGCATTGTACAATATACCACCCACTTTTCACTATTTATGTAATGAGTCACATGTAATAAGCGTTAAGCCTTTTGCTATAAACCAGGTACACTTCTAGACTCCGTGCAAGTGAGATTTTTTTCCGGAAATCGAACCCGAACCCCCTTGCCCGGCAGTCGCTTTTGTGACCACTTGGCGAACGAGGCATTGATTATTACATTGTATATTTACTAAACCTTCTAATTAAATTCAAGTACCTATTTATATGCCAATAGGTACTTCG